CCGCTCCCCGGAGCTCCCTGGGCTGCCTGGAGCTGCGCTCGGGTTTAGCAAGGCCGGGGCTGGGAGGGAGCCCCTAATAAATGCTGCGAGCGCCTCAGCCCGAATGAATGAGCAGCCCCCGTGCCAGTGGTGTAACCGGAGCGCTCGGGGCTGTTGGTTTTGGCCGGGAGGGAAGGGGGCGTGCAGTTTGCTCAGTCCCAGCCTTCCAGGGTCCGCTGGGGGATGTACTGACTCGTGGAGGGGAAAAGCGGGGAAAAAACTGCTCCTGGAGCCTCCGCTTCCCCCGAGAGCGGATTTCTGGGACGTGCAGCAATGCAGGGGTGGAAGCACTTGGAGTTCGCTGCCTGGATTGGCTGTGCCGGGCTGTGTTGTTTGGGGGAAAGAAAGCGCTCCCTGCAAGCTCGGGTTGTGCTCGGTACGTGCCAGGGCTGGGGAGGGGACTGCGAGGAAAATAAACATACCTGGAGCTGCTTTGGATACACGTGGCTGGTTTGACTAAATAGCGCAGCTTTTTTGGATGGTTATGTGATGTTATATAATAAGTTCTGTTATATACTCACAGTTTATTGCTTTAAGCAGTAAAAGAGAACTCTTAAGGACAGCTTGTTGGAGTTTTGCTTTTCCAGCCCTAATTACCCCTAACCCCCCCAAACTGTGTGGATAATCTGTTAGTGCTGGATCTGGTTTTGGGAGTGGGTAAATCAGCAGCTGCACGGTCAGAGCTGCGTCTGTTACCTTTGAAAAAGCAAAACAAGGCGCTGTTGGATGAGACATTAATGTAGTGGAAGGATTATTGGTGCTAATCTGGTTCGAATTCCATAATCTCATCAGTTCAGTGGGCCATTAATCATTTCGGAGATGCATTGCTCAGGTGAGATGAGGGATAATATGGTACAAATTATGTATTGCCTATGAAATATCCAGAGAATAGCAAAAAAAAAAAAAAACAACCATGTAATTATATTTAACTTGCAATGTGTGTTCCCTTTCCATTTGTGTCTCTGCTTTTGTTCATGCAAACCTGGGCTACCTGTGCCTTGGATATTGGGGAGAAATCCTTCTCTGTGAGGGGGGTGAGGCCCTGGCACAGGTTGCCCAGAGAAGCTGTGGCTACCCCAGCCCTGGAAGTGTCCAAGGCCAGATTGGATGGAGCGTGGAGCAACCTGGGCTAGTGGAAGGTGTCCCTGCCCATGGCAGGGGGAGGGAACTGGATGGCTTTTAACCCACTCAGACTCTTCTCTGATTCTATGGTATGGGGGTTCCTGCCACTGTGAGCCCTCCAGCTGCTCTCCTGAGAGTGTAAATAATAAATAGCAACGTCAAAGCAATATTTTAGAAACCTGGGAAGTCTGGTAAAGTAGAGGTGATTGTTATTTTTGGGAGGAATTTCTCCCTGGAAAGGGTGGTCAGGCACTGGCAGGGGCTGCCCAGGGAGGTTTGGAGTGCCCAGCCCTGGAGGTGTCCCAGGAAGGCCTGGCTGTGGCACTCAGTGCTCTGGGCTGGGGGACAGGGTGGGGATGGGGCACAGGGGGGATCCATGGGCTGGGAGGGCTTTTCCAGCCTCAGTGATCCTGGGATTTTCAAGTAGGTATGTGCCTAACTTGGGTTACTCTTGGTGCACAGGCTTTGTCTTTGGACACCCACTTTGGAGTGAGGCTCAAACACAGCTGTGGGACTTTGAGAGCTCCTCTGTCCATGTGACACTGCCACGTGCTCCCAGGCCCGTGGCTTTTCCCAAGCTCTCTGTGCTGCTGGGATGGGCAGAGCAGGGCTGGAGCACAAGGCAACCTTTGCCATTTCTGGGTGCAAGGAGGGCAGCCAGGAAGGGGTCTGTGGCCTGGGCTGGGCTGGCACCACCACGACACACCCACACCGTCGTGGTTCCTCCTCCTGCCTCTCAGCCATCAGCTGTCCCCAACTGGAGGTTGGTTTGTGCCTGAGTTGCATAATTCCCAGTGTGTGGTCTGTTGGAAAGTCTGAGAAAATCTAATCTGGAAAGTATTGGGGGTAAGGGAGGTGGGGATGGAAGAGGGAAGGAAGGTAGTTAAGGAGCTGAGTAGGATGTTTTTCCGTTCTCAGACAACAAATGTGTTTTCAGGCACTTGGTTTAGACTGAGACAGATGAAGCAAGATTGGTGAAAAGTGAATTATTTGTAACACACAGTATCACCTCTGGCTGCCTGTGATCTGAGAACCAAAAGGTGGGTGAGCTGTGTGTGTAAATCCCTCAGAGACAAAAAAAGGTGTGACAAACAAACAGCAAGAGATACTCAGAGCTAACTCAAACATGAAAATACCAAAGAGTAGTCAATTGGGTTGTGCCTAATGACCTTTCAGGAGCTCTGTGGAGAACAGACACAAGCTGTGGTATCTGGGGGATTGTTTACATGTGTGTATACACAGGTTATCCAGTTAAAAGCAATTCCCTGTCAGTGAGGTCACTTCAATATTGCTGCAAAGGGATGGGTTTGCTCCTAAATTGCCTTTGCTTTTCATTTATCTTGGTTAGGGAATATAAACCCAGCAGTGTTGGCTTCAGGAAACTGCCCAAATCTGTGTTTGCACAAAGTGGTTTTTGTTCAGAGAGGCTCTGTGGCTGAAATCCATCACCTTGTGTCACATCCAATTGCATCACTGCCCTGATACAGCCCACACTTCAAAGGCTTGTTTTCCCAGATTAAATAATTAGTCTTACTTTCCAGATCCCTTCCTATCTGTGACATCCCAGCTTAGGCAGTAGCATGGCTCAGGTTTTAGTGTCTTTGCTTGCTTAAAGCTGTTATTTTTGTTGCTCTCTGTTGAATTCCTTCCCACCACACTTCCATAGCTGAGATGACTTTTGCCTGTCCAGGAATAGGGGAATTTCTTCTTTTGCCATTGTTACAGCTGCTGAAATTCTGCTGGAGCTTAAGGGCTCTGCTCCATATGGGCAGAAAACTTCCAGTGGAAACTAAACAAGGGCAAGTGCAAAGAAAAGACTTATTTCTGCGAGCACGACGTTGTCCAGAGGGAAAATAATTCTTAGTGTATTCAGTGCAAAGTGTTTCAGTTTTGAACTATGGTGTGAGTCTAGAAAAGTTCAAGTAAATACATCCTCTCACCTTTTTGTCACAGAATCACAGTTGAGTTGGGAGGGACCCACAAGGACCATCCAGTCCAGACACCCCAACACTCCCACCCTGTCCCTGAGAGCGTTGTCCAAACCCTCCTGGAGCTCTGGCAGCCTTGGGGCTGTGCCCACTGCCCTGGGGAGCCTGGGCAGTGCCCAACCACCCTCTGGGGGAAGAACCTTTCCCTGAGATCCCAGTTCTCCCTGTGGATGAGTTGGTGCCCACAGTGCCTTGGTGGTGACACTTTTTAGGTGGATTCACTTGTAACATCTGGAAGAGACTTGCCCAGAGAACGTGGGTAGAAAATGGCCAGAATGGAGCATTTTGCTCATCTTTTTAGGGTCATTCATCAACAAATCCCTTTCATTTGCCAGTGGCCTTTGTGATTGTTCACAGAACAGAACAAGACCCAAATCTGTCGTGTCCGGGGTGAGAGGTGGGGTCTGACCTTGCCTTTGGTTGCTCAGAGTGGCCTTCAGGGAGGAGCCAGGGATTCTCCAGGCAGGAGAGGATGCAGAAGTGTGGCTGGCTGGAGACACTCCCCCGGAGGTGAAGGACCCCTGAGGGATCATTACGAGCTGTTTGACTCACAGTTGTCTGAACCTGCAATGAATTACGTTTGTTTCTTGGCCCAGGGGGGACGTTCCAAGACCCAGCCGTGTCCTGGGGTGCGTTTGCTGTCTCTGGCAGGAGCCCGGCGTGCTCCAGCCTGAACCCAAATATCCTTTTTCTGCCATCCATGAAGAGATCTGCTTATCTTCCCAAATTACACGGCTCAGGTTTAAATGGGAGAAAAAGCAGCAGGCCAGAGAGCAGTTCCTCTTGGAAACCAATCCAAAGAGACCGTGAGCACTTCCAAGGCTTTGCAGAAAGGAGCCACACTAGGTTGCAACAGGCAGATGTTTTCCATATGTTGCTCAAGTGAAACTTAAATCCACGGAGGCAGGCGTGTACAGCACTGGGGGGTTATGGATTTTGGTATGAGCCTGGCCTTCAAATTGAATTATGCACAGACATCTTCAGGAACCGTGTGAGAGAGGGTTCAGCTCTGCCTGCAGTCGACTCTCCCTGGCTCCCTTCTCCTCCTGGAAATGGCATCCTTAACTATTTCTGTGCAAGTGCATATTTAGTTCTCTTAATAACCAACTATTCTTTCCATGTGCTGCCTATTTCATGTGAAAGCCTGAATCTCAACAAAGGAAAAT